ATTTTCCTATAAAAATGTGATAGTAAAAGAGCACGAGGTCTTTTGCTCAACCCGCTATGTCGGTGAGAGCAGGGACCCTAGCTTGAACTAGCTAAAAAACTCTCCTTCTTGCACTTGCATTGTCGTGTGTTGGCAAATTCCTCGCGCCGAACAACTCCTTCATAACCTGGGCCCAACATTTGGTGTGTTGGCCGGGAAGGAGAAAGATTTGGAGCCGGAATCTTGCCCCCGACAGAAGGGTAGTGGGGGTCAGGAACTGGAGCCGGCAGGATTGGGATCAATCTCTTGTGTAGGGAACCAATCTAAGGGTACAGGAACTGGCGGATGCGCTGGATGAGTGGGGGATGGAGCCCTTCCCTCAACTCACAGGCAGGCTGTGGGCGCTTTTTGGTAAAAGTAACCCACTTCAGGGGCAGAGGCACCTCCAATCTGCAATACTGGAAAGAGATCTCTTCTGGGTGTCGGATATTTGTGCTGTCTGCTTTGGTGTCTCTTGTTGTGTGGCCACTGTTTTTTTTATTTGTTCTGTGTTTTCTTAAAGGAGGTCGAAATGGAACAAGGACAGACTAACCCTCTGTCCCTGATGGTTGAACAGTTTTCAGAGTTTAAAACCAGAGGATCTAATTTATCTGTGATAATTAAGAAAAATAAACTAATAACTTTTTGCTCTTCAGAATAGCCCTCTCTTAAGGTGGAGTGGCCTCCGGAAGACTCATTGGATGGAAAGGTGATTGCAGCAGTATTCAACAGAGTCCAAGTTCCAGGCCCCCATGGGTACCCGGACCAATTTCCTTACATTTTAGTGTAGCAAGATATGGTGACTACCCCTCCCCCATGGCTAAAACTTTTTCTTCTGAATCTCTCTGTCAAGGTATTAACATCCTCACTCAGGACTAGTGAAAAGGGGAAACTGAGACGACCCAAGTCCCGGGAAGCCATTCCACCAGTTCTGTCTGATTCCCAGAACTCACCCCGATCTGATAGATCTAGAAGGTGGCTCGTTGGTCTAGGGGTATGATTCTCGCTTGGGGTGCGAGAAGTCCCAGGATCCCCAAATACCCCAGGACTCTCGAACCAGGGGGTTGCAGCCAGCTGGTAAGTGTTTAAATGTTTGTTGTTTAAGTTCTTTGTGTGATACCTGGGGCGGTTTTCTGTAAAGCTGACTTTAGCCTAAGGGGACGCATGGGCGGGCCGTCAGCCGGATGATCTGGGAGACCTGGGAGAAGTCCCAGGGACCTCTTCAAGAAAAGAGGAAGTGGAAGCCCTCCAATCTGGAATTCTGAATTGGTATAGGGATGAAGGGGGTTGCTCCCGCAGCTCAGCGTGAGGCCCTCGTCCCGCTTTCAGTTTTGCTTCCAAATTGTGGGAAGCATTCTTTGTTCGTCCTTTTGTGTGTCTATTCGTTGTTTGTCAGTGTTTGTGATTTGGTGGATGGACGAAATGGGACAGACTATGACGACTCCCCCTTCCCTTTTGACTGGTAACTTTAAAGAAGTTAAGCAAAGAGCACAGAATTTAAATGTGGAAAAAAATTTTTTTGTAACATTGTGTAGCTCAGTATAGCCCACATTCAACGTGGGATAGCCAGCCGAAGGAATGCTCTATCTTCAAATTATTTTAAGAGTGAAAGAAATTGTGTTCTGGTCCAGCTGGGGACACCCAGATTAGAGGTCATATATTATCACATAGCAAGATTTAGTGGAAAATACACCTCCCTGGTTAAAGCCACTGTTACCTCTTTCTTTTCCTAAGCAGGCACCTAAACCGGTCCTGGCAGTGCAACCTTATATTGCCTGGAAGAAGGAACCTGAAATTAAACCTTTGGCGCCAACCCACCCAGTATTCCAGGGGGAAACAGAGGAAAAGCCCCTTTTTCCCCGCCTTACCAAACCCCTTCAGCAGGTATTGCAGCTGCAGAGGGTGTGTTGCCCCAAGCTCCGGATTTAGCTACTCATCAGAATACCTGAGAGGATTGTCAACAAACTCCCCCAGCTTTTGTTCACCACTGAGGAATGTGAAAGAATCCAGATGGAAGCCTGGAAATCTGTTTTGGGAGATAATAAGCTCTCTATAGAAACCAGGGAGTCCAAGCTGCTGTTAACATAATTTAAATGAAACCTTTAACAAGAGGATGCATGAGAGGTACAATCAAACATACTGTGTCTCTTCTCAAATCTT